TAGCACACCCAATACCTTGAAAATATTTTTCCAACATCCCAGAATCATCTCAGACTATCTCTTTGGAGATATTTTCTTGTGCATACGCGTTTGTCGTTGACAAAACGATAAATTAAATTTGAATGAAATCATTTCTGGGGAGAAGAGATAATATACGACGTGTGAATAAATCTAGGCGTGTGTTAATTACGTCACTGAAACGGGACGAGACTGATGAGAGATGATCTAGTTTTATGATAATATCGCCTTTAGCTCGCTTCGTGCTTATGTCGCACGTTCCGCTCATCATTGGTGAAATACGAATGGAGCGATTGGACGTATGTCTTTTTCTAACTTACTATCATTGTACGAAAGTTTAACGGGCATGAACCATGCGCATTTTATCGTTACCACCTCGAAAATGCATTTAAAGAACGTAGTAAAGGTGCATTTTGTTAGATGGCGTCTCAAAAATGCGTCTAGTTCTGGTCATTAAAATCAGGCTGGTGATCGCTCTCATATTTCTCTCTGGTTCGATAAAACAGAGTTGTGCTGCAAATTTTAAGATTACGTTCACGTGAATTGTTTTTCACGCAGCAATATAAATTATGTAGAATATTGCGAATTATATTAAAATATACAAAAAGAGAATAAATAATTATGAAGAAATTATTGGGTGTTTTAGATATTCATTATAAATGTTACGTTTAAAACAGATAGGACTGATAACAAATAGTATAAAATTTTTATTTCATTATTTGATGGTTAGTAATTTAATTCTCTGTAGATAAGAATGCAAAAAAGAATTTTGTAGTCTAACTTGTTTAAAAAGAAAAATGTTTATTCATAAATTTACACATCAGAATTCTAAAGATTAAATAATAACATAATTTTTTAAATTAAATTTTAATTTTCTGTAGATAAGAATGCAAAAAAGAATTTTGTAGTCTGACTTGTTTAAAAAGAAAAATGTTTATTCATAAATTTACACATCAGAATTCTAAAGATTAAATAATAACATAATTTTTTAAATTAAATTTTGAGCAAGCCATACGTTCTTAAAGTGACATCCACAAATTACATCATTGATGTTGGCCCATATTCTGAATACCATCTTTTATCAATAAAAGTGCCTTAAATATAGCTTTTCAGCCAATCAGCTGGCTCCTAATCCTCTTTTAGAGGCTCATTTATCGTTAAAAGAGAACTCAAAATACGGGCCATAATCTGTGGATGTAATTTACCTGGCACAACAGAAATGTTCCGAATATATCACAAGGATATTATAAAGATATTGCAATATCTGTTGGATATCCTTATGATATATTCGAGATATTTTTGTATGGGACATAGATAACTTCACATGTATAGCTTACGTTTAGTCTACGTAGGTGTACGTATAGTATCATAATTTACGCGTAAATGGTAATTCTGTGATAAAATCTATAAAAGTCATCGGTTCTTAATAATATCCCACACAGCATAGAAGTTTTAAAAAGCTTTCAGAAATGTTTCTGAAATATTGAACCTTTACGAAATCTTCCTGAAATCTTTCTGAAAGCTTTTTGAAACTTCTGTGCTGTGTGAAATCTCATTGATACTTGATTTAAAAGAATGTCCCATACAGCAGAGGTATCCAAAATATATCATAGAGACATTCCAAAGATATATTTGGGATATGTGATATCTTCAAGATATCCCTATGATGTATTTGGGGCATTCCTGCTGTGTGGGGTATACGCAATTATACCATCACTCACTGACAGTTATTCTGGCGAATTGGAAACGTGAAATACAGCGAATCCTGCAAACTCTCATAAACCCGTGAAGGCGACCGGCGATGAAGGTTAAGTTTCTAACAATATCTGAGTGATATATATTTCCGTTTTTTAAATACCACATCTTATAATTATCATCTTGTTTTAATTATGTTGGTGAAATTGTATAAAATTGTGATGTAACATATTCGGTAAATATGCATATTGCTAGTAAATTTTTGAGTGAAGGAATTATAAATCATATATATTATTCCGTGAAAATATTATTTTTATTATGCAAATGTATGCGAAAGTGTTTTTGATAACAAAGTTCGTCGTACGATGGCACCACTTTCTATTTCACGAGTCGATACAAGTACGAAATAGCTGACTGCTCGAAGCAGTGTACACATAACCTCCTTCTCCGGTCGTGCTGTTTCTAAATCTCAAAAAGTTTATTGCGAAAATACTCTTTAGTTCATATAAAGTGAAACATGTTTCGTTTTGGAGCCAGATGTTCCCTTGTCGTCAGGAGTTTTAGTACTAAGTTCAATGAAATCGGCAACCTCGTTAAAGTAAGTACACAATACTGACTTATTTTTATGTGTATATTTTTCATTTACATTAAGATTTATTCATTTGAAGTATACAATATTTCATATGGATGTTGTTAAATGCGATACAGTAAGTCAGCATACGATTTCTCTATGCAGTTTTTTTAATAGTGTGACTATAGACAAGCCACGTAAAACAAGCTCATAGGCTTTCTATTTTTATTAATAAATGCAACGTCATACGTGATACATGTATAGTACTGTGTTATATAGAGTGTTTCTTGCAGAAAAATAAAGTAGTCGTCTTTATGAAAGGTGTGCCAGAGGAGCCAAGGTGTGGGTTCAGTAACGCTGTAGTCCAGATATTACGAATGCATGGTGTTACTTACGATGCTCATGATGTTCTTAAAGATGAGAGTCTCAGACAAGGTAAACAATTACAAAAATATATATAATATAGCATTTATTAGAAAATTTATAAAAAATCTATTATAAAAATATATATAACATTTTATATATAGGATAAGCTAACATTAGATTACAAAATATCTCATTTTTGATATTGGAGGAAAATATATAAGAAGTAAATTAAACAGTTGGAAGAGGATTGGGACTAAAATATTTTTTCCAATCAAACAATTTACTCTTTCTTTCTCTCACACATCTTTCTCTAATATAAAAAAATAGATATTTTAAAATCCTAATCTTAGATGACTTATGATCTCTCTCTCTTGTATAAATCTTGTTACATTATGTTTATATAAATTTAAAAAAATACAAATAATATTTCTTTTAGACTATTATACTATTATTATAATTATATTGTATCATATCAATAATAATTGTATTCTTAACTTAATTGTATTCTTGAATCTGTCATATTTCTTAAATATATATAATAATATAAATGTACGTATATAATATTATATTTTGGTTATTTAGGTGTAAAGGACTTTTCAAATTGGCCTACAATACCTCAAGTTTTTATAAATGGCGATTTCGTGGGTGGCTGTGACATAATGCTAGAAATGCATAAGAATGGTGAACTCATTGAGGAATTAAAGAAAGTTGGGATTACAAGCGTCCTTTTAGAAAAAGAATCCTCTTCAGATAATATCAAAGGATCTAAAGAATAAATAATTTAATTATCTTGTATATAAACTGTTTCATATCAACAGTGGTTTTTTGTTATAATAAATATTTTTGTTAGCGTTAGCTATATATGTAAATCAATATGAATTAATGTCTCTATGAACTATTGTCACAAAATTTTTCTTGTTATCAGTTAGAGGGATATCCAAACAAGTCGCGCGTTATATTTTTGCAAGTTCTTTTCGTAGAATTTTCCCTGCCGCACTTTTTGGAATACTATCTACAATTTGTACATATCCCAATTGCTTAAATTTGGCTACGCGTTCGGCGACAAATTTCTTCAGGTCATCTTCGTCGACTTTCATCCCCGGTTTAGGAACCACGAAGGCTTTCGGAATTTCGCCGTACTTATCATGCGGTACTCCGATAACGGCCACGTCTTGTATCTTATCGTAAGGGCGAATCACCTCTTCGAGTTCGGAGGGGGAAACTTGAAATCCTTGTACCTTTATCAATTCTTTACATCGGCCGTGTACGTATATCAAGCCTATGTTTCACAATATAATTATTCATTCATAATCTCCCATCGTAATCGCTGCGATTCTAGTTTTTTCTGAAGTATCCAATGGAATTAACCGTTTTAATTAACTTACCCTCTTCGGTATAGTAGCCCAGATCGCCAGTTTTTAACCAATCTCCCTCCATAATGTCTGCCGTGCTTTCGGGGTTTTTAAAGTATCCTTTCATTACTTGCGGGCCCCGTATATATATCTGTCCCATTTCGCGTGGACCCAAATTCTTGTCGCGATTATCGTCGTTTTGTCCTACGATTCTCAATTGTGTGTTTGGTATCACATAGCCGCACGAGGCCGGCGGAGTGTTGCCGCAGCTTACCGCAATAACGGGTGACGCTTCCGACATGCCGTATCTTCGTGCAATCGCAAGTTATATGTACAATCGTAAGTTATATAAGCGATGAAATATTCGTTGTCACATGGATGTATCATAATAATTACTCTCTTACCCTTGACAAAAGATCACGGAATCGCTGATACGACTTTGAAACATCGCGATGGATTCATCCCCAATCGGCGCTGCTCCTGACAATATCGACTTTATATGCTTGACATGACGTGGCGTTATTCGTTCATTATAAACCAACATCTGTACTATCGGCGGCACGACTTGCAATTGCGTTATTGGATATTCCTCCAATACCTTTATGAATTCGTTCTGGGAAAACTTCGGCATGCATACCAATTTACCACCTATTCTAGAAACATAAAGCAAACATATACTGTTACGATCAAATTATAGCAATACTGTCAGTATAACGTGGCTACGCAAACCCATGAATGTTGATATTTGAGGCTAAACCTGGAAACGAAATCTAATACCCATGAATGTTATCAAGGTACCGTGGTAGTATCTATAGTCGGTACTATGGTACTGATTATTCGTGTATCCGTACTCGCAGATATTATCCAGGCAACGCCTGGTTCGCTATCTTTATATTGTTAAAAGGTCCATATTCCGAAAATGTCCAGTTATTTCGTGTATTTATTAAATTAGCTTTAGTCGCAAGTTGCTTATGTGCAGAAGGTGTACGGACGCAAATATTTAATAATAGCCAACAAAAAAATTTTTGAAGGTATAGAAATTTGAAGAGAACGAAATGGAGTGCGTGGAGTCTCTCAGATTCCATCTTTTCGAAAACGGGTTAACCGCATACTCGAGTATTCGGGTAAGACTCTGGCAGCCAGGTAGTTAAAATTGGCAGCATTGAGTAGTAAATTTGGATATTTAATAACAGCCAACAAAAAAAATTCTGAAGTTGCTATGTGCTTCTGCACATAAGCAACTTGCGGCTAAAATTAGTTTAATGAATACACGAAATAACTGGACATTTTCGGAATATGGATCTTTTAACAATATAAAGATAGCGAACCAGGTGTTGCCTGGGTAATATCTGCGAGTGCGGATACACGAATGGATCCTTATAAGAACAATTTATCCTTATAGGAACAATGCACGCAATTACGTTTAACATTAAGCGAACATGGGTCGTAACATATTGATATAACATACCGTAAATAAGTGATCATAGAAATGACCAGTGCAAACATGTGATACATTGGTAACATCACTGGTAGGACATCCTGGTGGGACTCAGTAGCTTCCACTGCGCTGAATAGTTCTGGATGTAAAAATTGCCGGACATTCGCGACAATGTTTCTGCAATATCGAAATACATTCACATTATGATATCGTAAATCGACCACTTTGAAAGCACTTCGTTACGTTTCAATTTCAAAACATTTCGATCGGTTTGTATACCTATGGCTCAACTCGACTCCCTTTGGCAAGCCAGTAGTGCCACTAGAAAAAGGTAGCAATACCGTATTTTCGTAACTAACGCCAGTTTTCTGACTAACTGAAAATTCCTCAATGTCGTCGCGCATCATATCGGTCAGTTTAATGGTCCGCGGGATTAAATCATCCTCAATGCCATCGTTTACGATAATAATAGGTAGTTTTATTGTTGGGTTTTCCTTAATACTCGCTTGAACATCAGCGTATTTCGTCGGCCACGTTATAACTGCCTTAGCACCCGACAGTTCCAAATATCTCTTTATCTCATATATTGTGTATGCAGGGTTGATCAGCGTTGGCTTAAAAATATAACCAAATTTCAGTAACAGAATTATACACACAGAGTAGTACACAGTAGTATACACTAATAGTAAATAAATACAAAAAGTAAAGTAGTATACTAATAAAGTAGTACACTAATAACGATATAGTAATAACGATATGGTAATAATTGAAATGAGCTCAAGCAACCACGAAAATATTTTAGGAATTTCAAAGAATACTTTGTTAGACATTTCTAACGTCCAACGTCTAACGTCCTTTTTTATTACAAAATAATTACTTTGTCGAAGGTTTGAAAGTTTATGGTAAATTTTGTTTCCTACTCCCTATAAATTTAAATTGAAGCATTTTGTAATTTTGTATTCACATTATCTTAGTTGCATAATATTTGCAAATGTCTTTAAATCTGTCTTACCGTTAATCCGGCTTCATTCGCCGCTAAAATGATAATAGGATATTCCGGCATATTTGGTAAAATAATAGCAATAGTATCTCCAGGAAACAAGTTCTTTCTGAAACTCGTTGCTAGTCTGCCGCATGCTTTTCTTAACTGACTGTACGTGTATGATCGACCAGTCATCGAGCACACCTATACGCGTGAAATAGTTAATTACATACGTAATCGTTCTTATTCGTTCTCGACAAATTACCGATTGCACTTATTATATAATCATAAATATGAAAAGTCGCACATAAATTATATCGATATGAAATGAGATGGCAAAAGTTATTACAAATACGTTTTCGATTGAATTAATGGTCTCAACGCGATATAACAAATAGATTTCAAAATTTTTATTGTGTTTTGTGCCAAAAGATATAAGTATCAAGTTTCTAAACTCTCAGTTTTATTATCTTTTTTAGTTTTATTATCCTTTCTTTATTAGTACGATATTTATTATTTGATTCAATTAAAATTTTCATAATTTCTCTTTGTTATTGTGTATTAATACTAACACGCACTTTCCAAACAATCATTTTTTACTTTTTCATCAGGATGTACAGTCGAACGGTTTGAACTTTTTTCCTTAGTCAGAGTAACCTATCTAAGGTTATTGCATCTAAAAGGATTAGGTTCTATTGGATCTAAAAGATTCTTATGCGGTAATCAATTAAAACAAAATCGAATTGTTGAAATGACTGCTAAATGTGATAACTAAATGGTTACTGGCTTCACTAGAAAAGAAGTGTTAAAATTGTTTTGTTCTTGACTGTACAGTATGATGAATGTCATTATGATTTGCACTAGGCTTTACTAGAAAAGAAGTGTTAAAATTGTTTTGTTCTTGACTATACAGTATAACGAATGCCATTATAATTTGCACATTATTTACCAGAGCGGTTTTGTTTGACCATCTTCCTATATTCTCCCATATGAAGTCATGTAAATAAACACTCTCGAAATCCGTCACATCTGGAAATCCGCTGCTCACTACGTTCTGTGAGTCTAATTTTAATCTATTCACAGTTGCGCAGTGTCGACGTATCACGAATTTTTCCAAACAACACTGCGTTTTACTGCACTTATTGCGCAAATTACCAGTCAGACGCCCTAATGTTAATATCCGTGACATCGTAATTCAGTAGATCTATAATGTTTCGAAGCGAACGTTACTATACTACGAGTACGATGCGATTGCGTCGCGTAACTCGCTGAACAGTTGTACTGCTGTACTGCCTTGCATTGGCTACTTAACATCCCCACTACTTACCAAGTATATATATTAAATATGTGGATTCAAACAACACAGTGTAATCTATCCTTTCATAGAATACGATATAT